GTGAGAAATCACGACGAGTGCCATCAACAAGGCGACCGAATATCGATGATCATCGATCTCCAGGTCTCCAGAGCAACAACACGAGCCCCATGATTTGGAATTCTTTTATTTTTCCCATCCAAACCGCCATCACCGTTGCCCGGATTTGTCACGGCTAGAGGCCTTCCTCATTTGCCGAAACGAATATCTCTCTCTCCCAAAAAAGTGTGTTCATTTGACCATCTACCATAAGATCATTTGTGACCTGTGGAATTTAACCCCTCTGCCTGCCAACATTTTTTTTAATCTCCCCCACCCCCCCCCCCCCCCCCCCCCCAAAAAGCTCTGTAGATGTGCATGTCGTCCCCATACTTGTACAACACCTTGAGCAATGGTCACATTGATATGCTTTGTTAATCCAAGTAGAATTTTGTTATACTGTTTATCCGGAGTAACCGATTTTGAGTAGGGTCACCGATTGCGTTCTTGGATGGCCAGAGGAAAATGCCAGATGAGTGCTGATTTTTACACACTGCACCTCATACTCACTTGAGGTTGAGTCGACCTAGGGGAGACCCAGGACCCGTTTCGGATAATCATCACTGGTTGTTGGCCGTGAGCGGGAATCGAACTCGGATCTCGCAGGTTCGTAGTGCAGCGCGCTAATCACTGTGCCACCGCCATAATCACCACCACTCCCCAGTTCCCCTCTATGGCCCTGGCAGGGGTTTCCCTGCTGAACATGTTAATCATTTACCGGTGAATATACAAGGCGCCCAAAACACTGAATCTTTATAGTGTTTCTCAATCGTCTTTTGCCCACGGACCACTTAGCCGATGCAAACATTTCCGTGAACCACACAGCCTTCCACCGCTGGTGACAAAACGCATTCACTCCTCTCTCTAAATACCACGAATACAAAATTATTCATAATACCGGGAAAAAAACACTTTTTTCTTTGACGCAGCTAAGGGTGGCAATTTAATCCGGGTAGTTTACCAAAGTTCACTTTATATTCTTAGCTCTTTCGGTAAAGTTACGTTGAAGGGAAACAATAAAATAATAAAATATATAAAACAATAAAAATTCTCACGACGTTTCGACCATAACACAAACGGTCGTCATCACGTTTGTGTTATGGTCGAAACGTCGTGAGAATTTTTATTGTTTTATATATATTTTATAATTTTATTGTTTCCCTTCAACGTGACTTTACCGAAAGAGCTAAGAATATGAATTACTGCAGTCACGAAAGCTTTAAATCAAAATTTAACGTCACTTTTTTAAAATGAACTATCTAAAGTAAAATATTAATTAATGTACGAAAGAAAAGGTATAATACATCGTCATTATTGTCCGGATCTACCTGTGCATGTGCATCAACAACTACCACAGACCACCTGGAGGACCGTTGTGGACCACCGGTGGTACCGGAGACCACACTCTGAGAACCACCAAAGCTCTCCCATAATAAATCTCCCCCACCACCACCCCGTAACCATGATAACAAATACACCAATGTGGGTAACCATTCTACATACTCTTGCACGCCCACGGATGCTGCCTTGTGATTATTGTCAACACACTGGACTAGTGAGCTAAGGTCACAGCAGTTGAAACAACGCTGCAAGTCGCTTAAATCTCCCCCCCCCCCACCTACCAACCCCCCCACCTCTGTCCACTCAACAGCATAAATGGGTGCAATAACCGTCTGTCAGCAGGTCACGTGTGGTGGGGTAAGGGGCCGTCCATAAATGACGTCACGCACTTAGGGGGGGGGGTCAGACATTTGTGACGATGTGTGACGAGTGGGGGGGGGGGGGGTTGAGAAATGTGACGTCACATCAAAATGCGCAACTTTAAATAAATATAGAATTGTTATAACAACACTACTTGTTATAACAACACTTCTACAACATCAGAGTGCAGCGCCACATTAAATACGCACTACAATGTCAATAGTTTAAAGCGATTTGAAGCATGTTTTATTTTCGAAATGGAAATATGGTTTTGGGGGGGGGGGGGCAGAGCTTTGTGACGTCATATTTGAGGGAGGGGGTCTGACTTTTTGTGACGCCGTGTGACGAGGGGGGGGGGGTTAAAAATCATCCAAAATTATGGACGGCCCCTAAAGTGTGGGTACTCCCGTGCTCTTCCAAGATGTCTGCCCATCGTGGAAGAGAAGCCCACGTGCCCTCGAGTGGAGAGGTCCTGTCGTCAGCAGCGGTCAGAATCAGAAACTTTATTATCCTGGAGGAATCCGATGAGCTAAAAAACATTCTTTTTTCACAGATATCCAGGAGAAAGCAAATACAATGTGAGTAAAGCGAATGCAGGGCAGCATCAACTTTGCACGAACGCAATTCGTATATACCCAGGGCTCGGCAACTTTTCAAAAAAGAAGAGACATTTTTGTTTTGTCTTTGACCAATATAGTTCGAGAGCCGTTCGCACTCTGAGCTCCTTGTTACACACAAACACAGCAGCAGGTATACAGGCAGATGACAACCACATTGTGACTTAACCAAAATAGGTGATGGAATAAACTGCGTTTATTTAGTTTTTGTCCCCCTTAATGACACTTTAACAATACAGTTTGACGTTTGTACATTTCACCATCGCCTAGATATTCCAAAGTGACCCATTCCCTGCCATACTTAATCAATTATCTTTACGTTCAATTACGTTTGAGGCCTACTGTCTATTTTACGGCCGCCCGCAAGGGGGAAGCCAAAGAGCCACCACATGCGACTCCGGAGCCACAGGTTGCCAACCCCCCCTGGTATAACCCATGGCGCTTGGCCATCTGCAATGATTCCAATCGTCCGCACATCCCCAGTGATTTGTATACGCTGTAGATGTAGCAACTCGCAGAGAACATTCTGGTTCAGAAGTGCCCATCAATGGCCGCACCACAGATTTGTTTGGGTTGTCGGTGGGCACTTCTGAACCGGAATTTTCTTTGTCGCCAGCAGCGGTCAGAATTGGAATCTTTATTATGCTGGAGGAATCCGTTGAGCTATAAACCTCTTTTTTCACAGATGTTCAGGAGAAAGTACATGCTTGCGCGAGGAAAGAAAAATGCAGGGCAGCACCAACTTTGCATAAATGCATTTCGTATAACCCATGGCGTTTGGCCATCTGCTCTTATTCCAATCATTCGCATATCCCCAACGAATTGTACACGCTGTAGATGTAGCGACTCACAGAGAACATTCTGGTTCAGAAGTGACCACCAACAGCCGGCGGAGTTTACAACCGAACGATTTGTGGCTCGTTTCATCATCTTGTCTCTCTCATGCGCATGTGCAACAGTGAGGAAGGGGTCGGCGACGAAGTGCCCTTGGCTAAAGGTTCAGAACGCAGTGGTCACCACATGAGAGACACAACTCAATAACTGTGCAAGTTTACCCGTGCCTATGGTTCGGTGCCCAGGGCTCCCTCTGCAGATGTGAATGCTTTTCCCCACAGCTACGCAGAGTGGTGCTGTTTCCCGAGGCCCATTCATTGCTATGTTCTATGTTTATGTACTGTATGTTGAACTTCTTTAGCGGCGTACGTAGTCTACCGTGCTAATCCGAGGTGCGGGGGAAGGACGACCCACTGCACACGCAGCATTGATTAATATGGACTGGGACTTGGGGTGGGGGGTACTTTGGTGTCTGATTCACGCTGCTGTCACAGAAGCGTTGCCAAAAACAAAAAAAAGGTCACACGTTGCAATGGGGAGATGGGGGGCAAGCAGTTTGCAAGCAGAACAAATTAACCGATCAAATGCGAGCCATAGCCTTAAACCATAACCAACTAGGCAGTCAACCACAAGTACTAACCTTAGGTGCACACAACCTACGCATGCATACACATATATACAAAGACAAATATGCCCTCTGTAGCCTTTACCAGATTGTTGGGGGGGCAAGTTCTGTTGATAAGCACCTCATGAAGACCATCATGGCGCACTAGAGTTAACTATTAATTTGTATTTTATTTTACCAGATCAGGCCCACTGAGCTGCATAGCTCTTTTTCAGAAGCGACCTGACTACAAATGATAGATCAACAAAGTATCATTCACGTGGAAATGTATCATAGTCAAATACTCTAAACGCATGTTTTTAAATGCAGCTCAGAGTTATGTTGACTTAACAATGGTTGGTGGCTGTCACACAAACCTGCTTTGCATGTGTCTGAACTGATAATTATAAATTATAATGGAGATAAAGTGGCCACCAAAACGGCTGCATTAAATGTGCTTAGACATCTTAAATAGAGTGTACATACTGCCAAAAATGAGTTTCACAACTCCCGTAGAGATGGCAGTGGTGGCAGATCCGCTCACATGCTGGCGCAAGAGGGACTGTGGCAATGCAGTGCCACGATGGGACGGTGAGGCCATCATCCAGCAGTGGATAGATAATGTCTGACAATGCAATCCGAGAGATAAATTAAACGTGACTTGGCATGTTGCAACTGATCCAGTAGGGGCTATTTTGAGTGTAAACGACAACCAGTGTGTAGGACATTTAATTTATGAAAATTCTGACAGACTACGTGTATTCAAAACAGTACAGGGGATGGGTTTTTTTTTGTGTGAGAACTCTTGCTTATACGGGCGCCGCAGTGGCGAGATGTTAACTTCCTCGCCTAGTATACGGGAGGTCGTGGGTTCAATCCCGACCCTGACGCCTGCTGCATATTTAGAGTTTGTGGTGTCTCTCTCCCCTTGGTCGTGTGTTTTTTTCAGGGCCCTCCGGTATCTGGCTGCTATAAATATCCACGTGACGATCAGCCACTTCATTGAGCTATCATTTATGACCAGGTTGCTTCTGGAAGAGAGCTATATATATATAGCTCAGTGGGGGGCCTTACATGATAAAATAAAACAATCGTTTAGTTCAGTATAATATTTTGGCAATGCAGCAGATTTTGTTTAGGATTTTACCGTTCAAACTAATGCCAAGGAGTAACGCGTTTGGGATGCTGTACATTCAAATTGCCCCCCCCCCCCCGCCCATTCCTAGTGTGGCACCGCCGGGGGCAAAGAGCTTCTCTGTGAGCGCCAGCGTGGACGTCACGTGCTGGGTGAGCACGCCGTTCAGGTCGGCGGCTAACGACGCGCGCGGCCGCGTGGCCGTGGGGACCCAGGTGCACGCTCAGGTGCTCACGCCCAGCCAGGAGGTTGGTGACAAGAAGGTGAGAGCGTTACGCCGCGTGTGCATGCGTGCGTGTGCGCGTTTGTGTGCGTGTGTGTGCACATTATGGGGGCACGGCTGGTGCATTTGCCAGTCATCTCAGTCGGTCAACTCATGGCACCTGGGTCTGTCCAGCGACCCTTCGACGCTTCACGTGGCCTCAAAGTGCACCTGGCCTGGCACAGGCGCCGTGATGACGTCACCACCACTTAGTGGTGAATGGTGGTTGTTGTGTGTGGGTGTGCATTCTCAATTCGTGGGGGGCAGTGGCGCAGTAGTTAACGCACCACACTACAAACCCGGCGACCTGAGTTCGATTCTCGCTCATGGCCAACACCAGTGATGATTAATGATCTGAACCGGTCCTGAACCTCCCCTAGGCCGACTCAGCCTCAATGATTACCTGGCGCAGTGTTTAAAAACATTGCCACTGGGGAGTTAAAGGCGGCCAAGCGTGACGTTACCACCCACCCCGTCTTGTGCCTTGCCGGCCTTCATAGGTGCTCGTCAATAGCACTTGCCCCAATAAGTCTGTTAAAGGCTATATGGGGAATCTTTGTCTCAATTCGTCCACCACCACCCTTTATAACCATTACTACCACCACCTCCACCAGAACTGATTCATCTGCCACTACAGTGAAGGCACTTAATCACGACCACGAGCAACAACACCACCACCGTATCTGCCACTGAATCCATTTACTCTCCACCGTGACCGACATTGATATCCCTGCCACACCACTCTCGTCCGTCCAAGTGCACATGACCATTACCACCAACACTCCTACCACCGGCCACTGCCGCAATCATCACGATTGCATTCACGGGATATGCCCAGGCAAAAATGAGTATTCAGAAGAGGGATGGATGCTATTTAGTCAACATATCAGAAATACAATGGAATAATTATATGTGATGGCAATAGAACAGGTGTTAAGATGTTCAAACACCAAATAGATACCTATTTCAAGGAATCAAGTCTGCATTAACCACACATACTTGCAAACAAACATGCTCTGATAATATATACATTGTCTTTGAAACAGAGTGGCCTACACCAGAGATGAGGGTTTTGTATCACGTTAATTCAGGTCTCCATTACCCCCCCCCCCCCCACCGCACGTGGTACTCATCATCTTTCGGTTTTGATTGCAGATGTCCGTGACCTTTTACGGAGAAAAGGCTGACGTTGCTCTGGCCAAAGCTCGAGTTTACCTGACGGCTATTGGTGAGATGTGGTCGCTGAGTGTCGTCACTCCTGCGTTGTGTCCTTGTGCGAGTGACGACGAGCATGATACTTTTTTTGCATCAAAATTCAGGACCTATGGAACACGAAAATATGATTAAATAACAATAACACCCAACACCAACCATGACATGAGCCCCTATCTAATTTGTGTAATTCTAAACCCAAAGCCTAAAACATTATTCTTGACACACAAGTCAGCTAACATGAGTCCTCATCTTAATAACTAATAAAGTAGAGTCATACAGTGGTGTTTCTTCCCATTCAATCCCGGATTCACTCTGATAGTCACCCAGAGCTTTTCGGCGATATCGGGTAATGACAGAACTGTGACGTCACTTCCTGTGATGTCACATCGTGATGAAATGGCGATGGAGGGGGGAGGGGCATTGACTGTAGTATCTAGAGCGGCGTTATCCGATTACCTAAACAATCGAATATTCTAGCAATTTCTCTGCCATTTGGATAAGACCAAAATAGTTGATGTTAAAATAATATTTCTCACTTCTGTTTTCCACACGTTGACACTGAACAGAAGGTAATGGGTGGGGCCACTCATTCCTCAACTCTTGCAAGCAACTGCCATCTCAATCATGATATTCTGTCTCTCAGTTGTAAGCTCTGTCAAGCGCCTTGAGTGAAGGTGCTCTCTATAAATATAAAATTAGATGAGGTGTGATTGACATCATGGTGAAACCCCCACAGCCACAAACTGAAATGTTCACAAAGCACTCCGGTGTCTGTACACAGGAGTTAATTGGGCATCTGATCATGGTTGAAGGTGGTTTAAACATATCGTGAACTTCAGAGATTGTACTCAATTTTTGAATGCACCTACGTCGCTAGTTGTGGAATATAAAGTAAATAAACCATGGTCTGTTTCAACGCTTAAAATACCAATACAATATGCTCTGTCAGTCTGAGAGCCTTTTGTGTTTTAAACTGAAACTAAACTTTTTATGTTATTTTACCAGGAAAGGCCCATTGTGCTATATTGCTTTTTTCAGAAATGACCTGGCGACAAATGGTAGCTCAACGAAGTGGCTTACCATCAAGTGGAAATGTAAAGCAGCCAAATACTCTAGACGTGTGACGTTGATTCTAAATGTGGAGGGAAAACCCGGAGGACCCGGAGAAAATTCCATGGAACCACAGGGAGAACACGCACACTCAAAATATACAGCAGGCATCAGGGTCGGGGTCGAACCCACGACTTCCTGTATACCAGGCGAGCTGGTTAAGCCAGTAAGAACTAAACAGGTTTCAACTTTTAGTGCCACTTAAAGTTAATAATTGTTCCTGCAACGTTACAGTGCTTAGTAAGTAGTGCTTTTGTAATTCAGATGCACTATGTGACTGTCATACATTGAGGGAAAAATGTATTTGATCCCCTGCTGATTTTGTACGTTTGCCCACTGACAAAGAAATGATCAGTCTATAATTTTAATGGTAAGTTTACTTGAACAGTGAGAGACAGAATAACAACAAAAAAATCCAGAAAAACGCATGTCAAAAATGTTATGAATTGATTTGCATTTTAATGAGATAAATAAGTGTTTGACCCCTCTGCAAAACATGACTTAGCACTTGGTGGCAAACCCTTGTTGGCAATCACAGAGGTCAGACGTTTCTTGTAGTTGGCCACCAGGTTTGCACACATCTCAGGAGGGATTTTGTCCCACTCCTCTTTGCAGATCTTCTCCAAGTCATTAAGGTTTCGAGGCTGACGTTTGGCAACTCGAACCTTCAGCTCCCTCCACAGATTTTCTATGGGATTAAGGTCTGGAGACTGGCTAGGCCACTCCAGGACCTTAATGTGCTTCTTCTTGAGCCACTCCTTTGTTGCCTTGGCCGTGTGTTTTGGGTCATTGTCATGCTGGAATACCCATCCACGACCCATTTTCAATGCCCTGGCTGAAGGAAGGAGGTTCTCACCCAAGATTTGATGGTACATGGCCCCGTCCATTGTCCCTTTGATGCGGTGAAGTTGTCCTGTCCCCTTAGCAGAAAAACACCCCCAAAGCATAATGTTTCCACCTCCATGTTTGACGGTGGGGATGGTGTTCTTGAGGTCATAGGCAGCATTCCTCCTCCTCCAAACACGGCGAGTTGTGTTGATGCCAAAGAGCTCCATTTTGGTCTCATTTGACCACAACATTTCACCCAGTTGTCCTCTGAATCATTCAGATGTTCATTGGCAAACTTCAAACGGGCATGTATATGTGCTTTCTTGAGCAGGGGGACCTTGCAGGATTTCAGTCCTTCACGGTGTAGTGTGTTACCAATTGTTTTCTTGGTGACTATGGTCCCAGCTGCCTTGAGATCATTGACAAAATCCTCCCGTGTTGTGCTGGGCTGATTCCTCACCGTTCTCATGATCATTGCAACTCCACGAGGTGAGATCTTGCATGGAGCCCCAGGCCGAGGGAGATTGACAGTTCTTTTGTGTTTCTTCCATTTGCAAATAATCGCACCAACTGTTGTCACCTCACCAAGCTGCTTGGCAATGGTCTTGTAGCCCATTCCAGCCTTGTGTAGGTCTACAATCTTGTCCCTGACATCCGTGGAGAGCTCTTTGGTCTTGGCCATGGTGGAGAGTTTGGAATCTGATTGATTGATTGCTTTTGTGGAGCAACAAGCTGAGATTAGGAGCACTCCCTTTAAGAGTGTGCTGCTAATCTCAGCTCGTTACCTGTATAAAAGACACCTGGGAGCCAGAAATCTTTCTGATTGAGAGGAGGTCAAATACTTATTTCCCTCATTAAAATGCAAATCAATTTATAACATTTTTGACATGCGTTTTTCTGGATTTTGTTGTTGTTATTCTGTCTCTCACTGTTGAAATAAACCTACCATTAAAATTATAGAATGATAATTTCTTTGTCAGTGGGCAAACGTACAAAATCAGCAGGGGATCAAATACTATATTTCCCTCACTGTAGTATAATTAGCATATTAATAATTTAGTTTGCAATAATATTTTTAAAATATCAAATGGAACACATCATTACTTTAAGGACATTTGACTGAAGTTTATTGTTTACATCAGAAAGGTGTTGTCAAGGCGTAACAATTCAATATATCATTTTGGTTCTTTCGGTAAAGTCACGTAGAATGGAAATAAAATAATAAAAATAAAACGTAATAAAATAAAATTATCACGACATTTCGGCCACAACACAAGTAGCCTTCTTCAGGTGAAGGAACAGAACTGTCAGGACGACATGGACAAAATTATTCACTTATATTTAATAGAGAGGAAAAGAGGAACAGAGGAAGTTCGTTGACCTGGACTCGAAAGTGAGATATTTAAGCTCTGGCCGTGCGATGGTGACGATGCTGTTGTTGTTGCTGTTCGATTACAGGCCTCTCCCTGGATGTGGACTCTGATCGAGATGGCATCGTAGAGAAAAACCACCCTAACAAGGTAAAGCGCTTGGCAAGGAGTGTGTGCGCGTAACCTCCGAGTCATCGTCGTTGATCCTGAGCCCCCTGTATTTTTCTTCTCCCCACGTACCTCCACCCTGTGTCACACCTCCTCCCTCTTGTCTGCACATCTCCTGCATCGCCGCTCCCTCTGCCCGGCTGCTGCAGAGCACACTCATCCATTGTCCTCTGTAGCCTCCTCAACCACCTTTCGCCTTCCCCAGATGGGGAGAATGACGATGATCCGAAATGCCTCTGCCGCCAGGACTCTGCACACGGAAAGAGACCAACGTTACCCTTCATACTCCGATCCCTTCACTGGCACACCCTCTGTCCTGAATAAACTTAAAGAGATCACCCCCTCCCCACCCCCCTTCCCCTCCTATCCCCCCCTCGTCCCTATCTTTCCCCCATTACCCTCTTCCTCTCCCCGTATAAACATTAATGTCCCCCCCCCTCCCCCCGCTGGCGTTCCCCACCTGTGTGGGGTAGTGTGCCCAGTTTTTTTCCGCACTTCGCTAGGCCCCTGTTGCGCCGAAAACTCGGGGCTGCTGTTTGTAGAATTTCTGTTCCACTCCCCCCCCCCACGACTGCGTTTTGGTGATCGGCGCTTTGTATGGGGCTCGCGTTAATTAGTTTTTTTGTTGCATTGGGTGCAATTGTGAACGATCGCCATATCAGACATTAGTACATCTATAATGCAGGTTTTTTACAGTTAGATCGCATAAAGATATTAATTTCGTTAAACCCGCCTTCACCACTAACCCAAATAACCTGTATTATGGATGATGTTGGTCGTGAAAGCCTACATGTTAAACATTAGTACATCTAATCGCCATTATCATTGGCTCACTACAGCTCAAAGATTCAGTCCCTACAAGGCGTGTGGTAACGTTAGAAAATTTCCCATGTGTCTGTGCTCGGCATTTGAAGGCCTGAAGACCGGAATTGGTGACTTTGCCGACAATGTGTTCATCAGGGAGGCAGTTCCAGATCCGGACAGCAGAGTGAGGAAGAAGGGAGCTTCTGTCCAGGGAGCATGTTCTGGCAACTGGGGGGGGTGGGGTGCAAGGGCTTGGCAGGGTTAACAATATAAAAAAAATAGAGGTCACCCTCTGTTTCTCTGCAACGGCTCACTCCTGCCTACTCCCTTCTCGTTTCATCTCACCCTGTCCACTCCCTCTCACATGCTCGTGGTTTTCTGTCAAAGCCCAGCTAGGTGGACGGCCGCTCATTATCCTCTTCTGCCCCCGTCATCAGTGGCAAGATGCTAACTCCTTTGCCTGGTATACAGGAGGTCGTGGGTTCGATCCCGACCCTGACGCCTGCTGTATATTTGGAGTGTGCGTCTTTCTCTCTCTCCCAGTGGTCGTCTGGACTTTTCTCCGGGTACTCTGCTTTCTCCCTCCACATTTACAATCGACTTGTGTTTGGAGTATTTCGCTGCTATAAATTTCCACACGATAAGCCACTGGGTTGTGCTATCATTTGTGACCAGGTCGCATCTGAAAAATAAGTAAATACCTCGGTAAGTTTTACCTGGTAAGATAACATTTTTTTGACTTATTGGTATATTTTTTACTTTACACTCCTATCGTGTTTTCCTATTGTTTGTTAGCTCATCGGATTCCTCCAGTATAAATACACCTTATTTGTATAGTTTTATAGTTCATAGGTCATTTACGAGCAATTTTAATTGGTAAGTTTGGACCGTGACGCCGGCACACGTGTCCCACTCCGTTTCGAATCACGTCACGGGATCTCGAATGTCCACCACTGTGAAGCAGACGGCCCATTGTGTCTCTGGTTGATACACCCCGCGGCGTCATCCAGGGTGGCCCCTGGGCTCGAACCGTGCGCATCTGCAACAAGCGGCAAACGCGCGAGTGCTCGGCCCGCATCGTCATCCCCAGAGCGTGGCCGCGGTCTTCGCTCACCGGAGGGTGGCGGTGTGGGGGGGCGTTGTAGAAGCTACGATGGTTGTCGTTCTGTGCCCGTGGCGCTGGGCGGTGGTGCAGTAACGGTTTTGCGCTATGCCTCGCAACGAACCCGGCGACACGGATTTTATTCTTGCTCATGGCCACCAATGCCGGTGACGATTATCTGAACCGATCCTGGGCCTCCCCTAGGTCGACTCAGCCTCAAATGGGTACCTGGTGTGGCGTGTAGTAAACATTGCCACTGGGGGGCAACAAAGGCAGCCGGGGTGTGGTGCTGGCCATCCACCCCCTTGTGTGCCGTTACAGTCTTCATAGATGCTACTCGGGAAAAGTACTTGCCCCAACAGTCTGTTTAAGGCTATATGGGGGATCTCTATCTCTGTGGTGCTGAATAGTAGTGTAATGGATAGAGCGCTGTTCTTTGAACCCGGCGATTGGCGTTTAATTCCCACTGTGACTGCCACCAACACCAGTGACGATTATCTGAACTGGTCCTTGACCTCCCCAAGGTCGACTCAGCCTCAAATAAGTACCCGGTACGGCGCGTAAACATCACCACTGGGCAAGACAAATGCGGCTGGGGCATGATGCTGGCCACCCACCCCCTCATGTGTCGTGCCGGCCCTTCACAGGTGCTGCACGCAACAACAGCGCTTGCCTTGACAGTATTGTTAAGGCTACATGGGGGGGATCTTTGTCTTTTTCTCTGTGGCGCGTGAAGGCGACGTGGAAGTGGGGACCCAACGGGCATGGCGCCATTCTTCTGGTGAACTGCGACAAGGAGAGGGACTCCACCTCGCCACCCGACAACGAGGACCGCTACCTACAGGGGGCAGCAGGTGCGCGGCCGCCACTCCATGAACTAAATTGATAAACTAAACGAATTTTTATTTTAACAAGCAAGGCCCCACTGAGCTGTATATAGCTTCTTTTTCAGAAGCGACCTGGCATTCACAAATGACGGCTCGACGAAGGTGGCTTGTCATCACGTGGACATTTACAGCAGCCAAATACTCTAAACGCATGACGTTTATTTGAAATGTTTGTGGGAAAAACCAGAGAACCTGGAAAAAAATCCACAGGCGACCAAGGGGAGAGAGAGAGAGACATGCAAACTCCAATCTCCACCTCACGCACCTCGCTCTCTCCGTGCTCCTCATTGACGACTTGCTGAGCGTTTTTATTCTTTAATAATACAAATGCACAAAAAATGTGTGACGTGTGACATGCGTAAACGCCCTCTAGATCAGTGGTTCTCAACCTTCGATTGGCTACTTCTGTGACCCCCTTGTTGAATTTTGTTTCATACGAGCACAAGCCCCTTGCCCCACTTAACATGGTTCTGAGAAATAAATGTACGAATAATGGACATCAATATTTGAACCAGTTATCCATTTTGCGAGGTATCCTAACTAGGTAGTAACTGCAAGTGTATAAAAGAAGAAAATTAAACGGACGCTGTGCAACGCGCGACATAATTTGTTCGCGCTCGCTGGTTATCTTGGAAACCCACATTGTTTACGATCGGTGAGTTTAGGAAGGTCTTTTAAATCGTTTTGGGTTACCATATGGAATTCAATTTCATCTTACTTATTTTATATTGGCAGATTCATCTAAGATTATTTACTCAATGACTCTAATTGATAAATCACCTCAGGTACCCCCTGGGACATTCCCACCTGTACCCAGTGCGGGATTATCCGAGGAGCATGTGTAGCTACACATGTAGTAGCTACACGTGCAGTAGCTACACGTGCAGTAGCTACACATGCAGTAGCTACACGTGCAGTAGCTACACGTGCAGTAGCTACGGGCCCCGCACTTTCAAGGGCCCCGCGCTAAATGCTTTGAAGCTAGCAATTCCGGTTCAGTGATTCTCTATTATTATAGTACTATACCGCCTTCAACTATTGTGAACGACTAGGTGTTTAAAGGTTAGCGATTTGTCGTATTATCTGGCTGTATAGCAAACGAAAAAATACAATTGCTTTACTATGCAAGTAAAAAAAAAGTTGTTTTCATATTTAGGGCCCCTTTATAGCATATGCTACAGGGCCTGCACTAACTTAATCTGGCACTGCTTGTACTTCCAAGTACCCCCCGGTATGAGAACCACTGCTTTAGAAGGGCTCCCCCTAGAGGGGCGAGAGGCCTTGGGTGTCGACGAAGCGTCGCGGGAGCCATGTTGCGGTGCCCACAAAAGTGGAGGGAAACTGGGAGGAGGGAAGACCAGGAACGAGGTTGGGTAGACGCAGTGGAGAAAGAGAGGAACGAGAAGAGGGATTGAGATCGAGTGAAGCTGCGACGCTGGCTTCAGAAAGAGAACCTTGGCATAAATATGTTGAGCCTCATAGTCGCTAATGAGCTGACGGGTTATGATCGCCGTGTTACTAATGAGCTGACGGGTGATGATCACTGTGTCACTATTGAGTTGATGGGTTATGATCACCGTGTCACTAATGAGCTGACGGGTGATGATCACCGTGTCACTAATGAGCTGATGGGTGACGATCACTGTGTCACTAATGAGCTGATGGGTGATGATCGCCATGCCGCCACATGTGACCGTCCCCCGACAGACCTGCAGGACATGTCGCCCATGCTGGTTCGTACCCGAGGCCCCGCCAAGCTGCCGCCCGGCTACAGCCTCCAGCTGCACAGCCTCGAGTCGCAGCACGCTGGCGTTTTCCACATACCCGGTGAGAGGCTCATCGACCCAACGGTGCACTGCGCCACAGTGGCTAGGAGATGTTAACTACTTCACCTGGTATACAGGATACAGGAGGACGTGGGCTCAAACCCAACCCTGACGCCTGTCTATAATCACTTTACACGGTGGCTAGGAGATGTTAACAACCTCGCCGGGTATACAGGAGGTCGTGGGTTCGATCCCGACCCTGACGTCTCTATATTTGGAGTTTGCGTGTCTCTCTGGATTTTTCTCCGGGTCCTCTGTTTTTTTTCCCTCCGCATTTAGCATCAAGGTGTGTTTAAAGAGAGATACGGTCCGCCAGTTCATTCCTTACGACTCACGACTTCACTTCATACATTCTGTGTAGCTGCGTTGCTATCTCCTGGTTACCTGGCATCTCAAGCCTATGGTAGCTGGTATCCTGAGGCAGTCATCAATCCAAATACAAGAAATCCTCACTAAGCGCGAGTTCTGGATTTGCAAGTTTCACATATTCGCGAGTTTCTAAATGTATCCATTTTTCCCTCTTCGCGACCCGCCGGACTCCAGTATTCGCGAGTGTGCGTAGTGCCTATAGACCATCGGCACTAGGGAGGTGAGCACAGAATGTTACTACATTTGAAACTGTCTGCAAAGATCAGGCATGCCCCCTCGGCTGCCCACGTAGTCCTCACGTCTTGCAGTAATCCCGCTCTAAACTCACTCTTGTGGATTTTTTTACTTCATATACGTACTTATACCAAATGTATAAACGAGTCGACTGTCCGGTCCATTAAAAAGAACGCGAATGCAATCAGGGAGAGTGTTGCGGCTCGTGCTCCCCAGTGCTGAACTGATAACAGCTGTACTGCGTTGTTATCAAACGCCTGCATCTCTCGAGGAGATCACCACCACCTCTATCGTCGTCAAATCATCATCATCATCATCAAAGGAAATTTAAAACAAACACGTCGTACTTCTGAATGTTATTTATTTATTGTAGTCATAGTTATTAAACACTTACCATTTCCTCCCTATGTTCACTCGTTCCAGGAACTTCACCCCACTTTTCCCCCACTGGAGCGAAGGTTTTTCTGCATTCGCGAGCATTTTCAAGAACGTAATCCTCGCAGATAGAAAGGGTTTTACTGTACTCTCCAGTCTGAATCCTGCTCTTGATTCTGAGATCGGACGACCATCACAAGCTTGTAAACGTGACGGGGGACATGTCAAGTGAAGGACACTCGCTGGTTGACGCGTTGTCGGTGCCTCGGTGGTGTTGAGATCTGAGCAAGGTGATAGGCACGGAGAGCCATTCGCTGGGGCCGGGCAAGTCGAGCTACTTGTTCGAGTACCCGGGTCGTGGCGGAGAGGTTAACCTCTTCGTGGAGGGGCTAAGCTTCCCGGACGGCGACTTCAACGGATTCGTTCACTTCCACCTCAGCCTCCTGCAGAGCATCCTACCGGTGAGTGGGCATCAGAACCAGCAGCAGCAACCGGGCAGCAACTATCCCCGTGCATCCATCTTTCTTGTCGAGGAGCATAAACCATCGCGCAGACTCCGGTCATCCTCGCAGCAGTCGGCTTTTTGGCTGGCCATCGAACGTTGCGATTTATTTTTTATCCAGCTGTCTGGACACATCTTGATGTCAGTGATCCATCTACGGGAAGTGAAGTGGAATAGGCTATTCTGGCAAATGGCGCATGATGCTGGATGTAATTACCAGTGAAACATCGTAATCAAATTGTAAATCTTCTTTGTTTCTTTCGGTAAAGTCACGTAGAATGAGAATAAAATAATAAATTGATAAAATAAAATAACACAATAATATTCTCACGACGTTTCGGCCACAACACAAGCGGCCTTCATCAGGTGAAGGGACGAGACTGTCTGGCAGGACAGCGCTGGAGTGAAAGAGCCACGTTCAGATCACGGCCTTTAAGCTGTGTGAGAGGAACAAAGCGCCTTGACAAAGGAATTAGCATATAATTTAGCATTGAAATGGCTGAATGATTAGCTTGTGACTGGTCACAGAAATAGTTATGTTAAAAGTTAAAGCATACACATCCGCAGAGGCACCCCTTGACAATGGAATTAGCATAGAATTTAGCATTGAAATAGCTAAGTTAAAGCATACACATCCACAGAGGCACTCCTTGACAATGGAATTAGCATAGAATTTAGCATTGAAATAGCTGAGTGATTAGCTTGTAACTGCTCACAGAAATAGCTACGTTAAATTCAGACCATACACATTCACCGAGGCACTTAGTACAAATCAAACAGGAGAATTTAGCATTGAAATAACTAGGCGAATTTAGCATTGAAATAACCGAGTGATTAGCTAGTGACTGGTCACAGAAATGACTATGTTGAAGTCAAGGCCTACACATCTGAGCTATTCACAGTACTATATAGTGAACCAATAAAAACTAAAATATAAATTACCTTAATGTTATCAATAAACTCTATATTCTCCAATCAGCTAAGCTACCAACAGTAAGTCGTTATATATCACAATGCTATATGGCGAAAAAATGGGTGGATTCTTACCCTCAACTTTAGCACCACGGATAGCTACGGGCCCCGTTCAGACGGACGAGTTCGTCCATGGTCGGAACAGAGGAGGGGGAGAGAGACAGCTGCGAGGCCCTAGTATACTCCATGTTGTAAAACCATACCATTAACCGTGGTGTGAGAGGTATTAAGAGGCAATGCTGGCGAAAGAGCTGCGGTCTGGAGGTCATCGTAAAACTACAATTAATTAAGAACAGAAATGATTTAAAACATCTTTCCAGTGATTCATATTCTTAGTTTTTTCGGTAAAGTCACGTTGAAGAGAAACAACAGAATAACAAAATATATATAAAACAATAAAAAATTCTCACGACGTTTCGACCATAACTCAAACGGTCATCATCAGGTGTGTCGGTTTGCATAAATTTATTTTAAAACGGCATATTTATTTATTTATAAAAAAAATAACGTTTGCGTCACGCGCAGCGATTGGCAGTTTGCCCAGGACTAGTCCATCTATTTTTTGAAAAGAGGAGGGGGGAGACGAAATTTGTTTTTATGTATGCTGTCTGAAAGCCACTGTAAGCGTGAACAATCAATCAAGAACTGAAATGATTTATCAAATCTTTCCAATGATTGCTAAGATAGAATCCATCTTCTCGGTTGAAATTGTCTCTGTGCTTGTATACGTGGATAGCCTCATGAACGAATCTCTCATGGAAGCCAGATGGCTTACAAAGAACCTCCGTCTTGGAAAAGTCAATGGCATGTGAGCCTACTGAATTAGAACAATGATCTGCTACGGCCGAGGTGTTGGTCCTACCGTGTTTAAGGTCTGCTTTATGTTCACGAATGCGGTCCGAGATATGGCGTTTGGTTTCTCCAATGTAACTACTACCACAGAGGCAACTTAGTTTGTAGACACCAGGGTATTGTATGTCCGGAATCACATCTTTTACAGACGGAACCAGATCACGGATTTTATGTAATGTGTTGAAACGGACCTGGATCTTGTGTTTATTCAAGATTTTGGAGATCTTTTTTGTGATCCCAGCAATGTAGGGTAAAGTGATGGTTTTGAAAGGCTCCTCAAGAGGGTTCTTCTTCATGGTTTGAGTGATAGCTTTGCGGATTGTATAGTCGGAGTAACCATTAGCCCTAAGAGCTTGGTGTACGTGCTTGAGTTCACTGCTTATGTGTTCCTGGTCGGATATGCATTGGGCTCTATGATACAGAGTCTTGATGAGAGAATTCTTCTGTGATGGATGGTGGTGGGAATCCGGTTTCAGATAAGCATCCGTATGGGTAGCTTTCCTGTAGACAGAGTGGCTCATTGAACCATCAGGTCTCTTTTTAATTAGGACATCCAAAAAAGGTATCTTGCCATCTATTTCGACTTCCATGGTAAATCTGATGGCTGGGTGTATGGAATTGATGTGGTCGAAGAATTGGTCTAGAGCAGGCCGGCCATGTGGCCAGATGACAAAAGTGTCATCCACGTACCTCTTCCATAAGGTTGGGCGCAGAGTGGCAGTCTGGATGGCGTCAGTCTCAAATTTCTCCATGAAAATGTTAGCTATAACTGGAGAAAGGGGGGAGCCCATTGGGGTGCCCTCAGTTTGTTTGTAGAAAGTTCCATTCCAAGTGAAGTATGTATTGGTTAAACAGTGTCTCACCAGGGGGGGTACCTCAGTGTTTAGTCCTTGATGAACCAAGTCTTCAATGATTGCAATGGTGTCAGGTACAGGAACCTTGGTGAATAAGGAAACTACATCAAAACTGACAAGCAGGTCGTCTGGGGACAGGGAAATACCCTTGATTGTTGATACCAGGTGAGTAGAATTTTGTACCGCAGAGGTGGTCTTTCCAGTGAAAGGACGCAGGATTTCAGACAAAAAACGAGCTAGTTTGTAGGTGGGGGAGCTGATAGTAGAGACTATGGGACGAAGAGGTGTATCAACTTTATGTATTTTTGGTAAGCCGTATAATCTTGGTGGCCTGGCAGCAGAAGGTTTCAACGAAAACTGTTTAGATTGATCAATTAATGCGGTTGAATCAGAAATTATTTTGTTGGTTTGTGTGACGAGGCTGTTGGTGGGATCTCTTTTTATTTTTGTATAACTACCATCGTCGAGTAATTCTTTAATTTTGTTGTTGTATTCTATTTTATCCATGATGACAGTAGCATTGCCTTTATCAGCTGAGAGAACTACAATATCATTCCTCTTTTTTAATTTATATAATTCAAAACGCTCATCTTTGCTGAGGTTGCTAGCTGGTATCTTAGCGTTTTTGAGGGTTGCAGCGATTTAAGATCTTGCTACGTCTGCAGCGATGTGACCCAGGCCCCTGAGAGCAACGTCTACTTGGGCAATTATATCATTAACTGGTATGTGTTTAGGTGTGACTGCAAAGTTTAGACCTTTAGCTAAAACGGATTTCAGACCATCGGAAATAGAACTGTTACTGCGATTAATTACGACTTTATTAACGTCTACCTTTTTGGTGTGTGGGTCCGGTCTTTTGTTGAAGAGGAGGTTAAATTTGGAAATCAGGTTTTCCTTACATTTGGTCGACATAGTAGCAGCTGAAGAGGCAGTCATATTGTCTACATGTTCCCAATCCGATGTGGACATTATTGCCGTCAATGATAAGTGTGATTTGTAGAGTGTCTTATCTAACTGATCTAGTTGTGTGCGTATAAGTCTGATTTTTTCTGAGATAAGAGCTAAGCTAGTTTTGAAAAGAATTCGTTTCGCATTAGAAGAAGTTACAGCAGCAGAGGTCAGTGCAAATGCGATTGGTATTACCCCAGAGTCGCGGCATCTCTTCAGGAAGGTGAGAGACTCGATCAGCTGAGCTTTCTTATCCCGGAGTTTGTTGAAGGATCTTAAAGTTATGTGAAAACCCTCCCCGTAGAGGCGATTAAATTTTGATTTAAAGCTTTCGTGACTGCAGTAATTCATATTCTTAGTTTTTTCGGTAAAGTCACGTTGAAGAGAAACAACAGAATAACAAAATATATATAAAACAGTAAAAAATTCTCACGACGTTTCGACCATAACTCAAACGGTCATCATCAGGTGTGTCGGTTTGCATAAATTTATTTTAAAACGGCATATTTATTTATTTATAAAAAAAATAACGTTTGCGTCACGCGCAGCGATTGGCAGTTTGCCCAGGACTAGTCCATCTATTTTTTGAAAAGAGGAGGGGGGAGATGAAATTTGTTTTTATGTATGCTGTCTGAAAGCCACTGTAAGCGTGAACAATCAATCAAGAACTGAAATGATTTATCAAATCTTTCCAATGATTGCTAAGATAGAATCCATCTTCTCGGTTGAAATTGTCTCTGTGCTTGTATATGTGGATAGCCTCATGAACGAATCTCTCATGGAAGCCAGATGGCTTACAAAGAACCTCCGTCTTGGAAAAGTCAATGGCATGTGAGCCTACTGAATTAGAACAATGATCTGCTACGGCCGAGGTGTTGGTCCTACCGTGTTTAAGGTCTGCTTTATGTTCACGAATGCGGTCCGAGATATGGCGTTTGGTTTCTCCAATGTAACTACTACCACAGAGGCAACTTAGTTTGTAGACACCAGGGTATTGTATGTCCGGAATCACATCTTTTACAGACGGAACCAGATCACGGATTTTATGTAATGTGTTGAAACGGACCTGGATCTTGTGTTTATTCAAGATTTTGGAGATCTTTTTTGTGATCCCAGCAATGTAGGGTAAAGTGATGGTTTTGAAAGGCTCCTCAAGAGGGTTCTTCTTCATGGTTTGAGTGATAGCTTTGCGGATTGTATAGTCGGAGTAACCATTAGCCCTAAGAGCTTGGTGTACGTGCTTGAGTTCACTGCTTATGTGTTCCTGGTTGGATATGCATTGGGCTCTATGATACAGAGTCTTGATGAGAGAATTCTTCTGTGATGGATGGTG